GGATTCCTTTTTAAAGCATATTGTTTTGTGTTCATTTTGTTTATTCATTTCTAATGGATTTAATGTTTCAAGAGCTTAGAAAAAATTCGCAGTCTGAGATAGGCATGTAAGGATCTTGAGCAACATCAGCACGGTCACTTTTTCCCTGCACTCCTTTAAAGGCTACAAATATATTTTAAGTCAAGTGATATTTATAGCTGCTACTAGATTTTTGAATCTCGCTCACAACGCCGGGCCATGCAATAACATTATAGTACATTGGATCAATATCAGAGATAAATAACCAGTCGTATAGATTTTTGAACAAAAAAACCCGTCACTGGTCTCAGTTTTTCTGACGATAAAAGCAAGCTAACAGGATTCCAACCGTTATCTTAAAGAAATGTGCTCCTAGGGCTCACAGTTCTCAACAATTATTGCCTATCCTGCCAAATATATATATATATTTTTATATATATATATATATATAAATATCGCCCTATTAGTCTCCTACCTATTTTCGGCAAAGAATCAGGCTTTAATCAATGCTCAATTGGAGATAGATAAATAAATAATAGATTTCATTACCGCTGATGTACAGATACTAGTAAGAATGTGTCAGAAAATGACCTCCCTCTTTGATATCTGAAATAGTTTGACAGGATTGTTTCTCGGTCTTCTACGTAATCCAGGGCTATTCAATTGCGATTTAAAAATTTACTAGATTTAAATGTTGAGGTATTTTTGACGGAGTTTCTGACAAGTTTTTCAGACAAACGTCATTGAATCCAAGGGCTCATCCTGGGTCTTACACTCTGGTCTTCATCAATGATCTTCCTGATATCATCAGTTCACAAGATTTAGCCCGTAAATATTTTGATGAAAAATTAACGACATTGAAAAGGACATTCAATCATGGTTAACTGGGTCAGAAATACGTTTTAATGAAAAAACTGCCGTGGACATTTGACCATCAAGACACTTCACTATTCGATAAAATTAGATGATTTTAGTCTGATAAAGGAAAAAGCATCTTCTTGCCTAACTTTTTGTTGAACGCACCTCAATTGACCCACTACAAGGAAATCTGTCCTATTGTATTGCCTCAGGACAATACCATTTAAAATGTACCATTCGTCTGTGCATGGAATAAGAAATATCTGGATGCCAATTCATTCATTGGAAAGATTCAAAAAAGAATCTGTGTACTCGATTTGATTTGGCATCTTGTTCAATTATTTTTAATACTAGTTTTTTTTATTTATTTAATTTTGCTATGAACTCGCTCACACAAATTTTCCAATGGTAATCTACATAAAAATTTTGAAAAAAATTAAATTTGTCACGATCGCTAAATTCCCAGGGTCACATTCATTATCAACCTTATAAATATATAACAAATATTATATATATATATATATATATATATTGGAGAGACAAAACAAAAAGGATTAGATAAATAGATAGATAGATTTCATTGGATGTATCCATCCATTTTTTTGAAATATCATGTTTCTCGCACGCTATCTATTCAATCACGATTAAAATTTACGGATTTAAATGTTGATATTGTTGGCTGACATGTTTGTCAGACACAATAATCCAGTCATCCGCCTCAGTTTGGCTTTCAATCGTACAAAGATAAGCTTCGTAAATATTTTGAAAAAATAAACCAATATATTATGCTACCGTGGAAGAACATAAAGCTGTTCACTATTCGATATCTTAGAAGTGGTCTGATAAAGGAAAAAGAGCCTAACTCTTTGTTGACGCACCTGTTGACGGCCTGTCCGTATTGATTGCCTGGACAATATTGAAAATGTGACGTGTTTATGTGTCTAGATAAGAAAAGTGGAGCCAATATTCATTGGCTTAGAAAGAGTGAATTAATTATAAATATAATTGTTACAATTATTATTAATACTATAATTTTTTTTTTATTTATTTAATTTTTATGAACTCGACAAATTTTCCAATGGTATTAGTGAGAAATGAACTTAAATCGTCACACAAAATTCCGAATTCATTGGGAACCTTTAAATAACAACAAATATTATATGAAATTTGGGTCTTTTGCCAGACAAAACAAAAAGATTAGAAAATACTGATATTCTTTGGCATCCATCCATTTTTTTTTATGTATCTTAAACTTCTTTCAAAAGGCATCAAAGTACTTTTGAGATCTTAGAATCATCTCTGCGTAGAGTCTAAAAGATAGAATAAACCAATATATTATGCTACCATTGTATTGTCGGAAGATGACCCATTTATCTGTCCGTCTTCGGTTCTGGATTGGTCAACTCCTCAGGTTTCTTCTTTTAATATGGCATATTCCTTCAGGACATAGTTTTCCTTCTTCCTCAGCAACTTCCTACCCTTTGTAACTCTAAGCAATATTTGTCGACTGAAAATACATTTAATTTGCTAATCTACCATCCTTATTAGGTAGGTTATTCAACATTTTCCTTCTGTACTTTTCTTACCTTCAATATGTCCTAAGAGTGTTGAATTTCCCAAGCCTTCTTTCCTTATTATGAGTCTCAGAAATTTCAACTATCTCTCTTTGACCATGTGAACAAGTGCCAATTTCGTTCCAATTTTTTTAAATTTATACACATTATATAGTGGTGAAGAATCCAAAACATACGTTGAGTATGTCTGCTTGTTACTAAGATGTAAAAATAAAACGCCTGAATATACAGACCACACACAAACACACACACAAATATACACATATAATATATATATATATATATATATATATATATATATATATATATATATATATATTAGCAAGAGAAGTCTATAAAATGGATATCAATTAAAGACAGTGCCTGATTTTCATGAAGCCATATTCATCAGTTGGAATCACATTCCACCCATGCAGACACTTATATCGACCATTCCAAAGCTAACTTTCTAATTATAGTCGGCCGTCCAACTCACGACTGAAATGTCTTGTTGGGCATTTCCTAAACTGTATAGGATTTCTTTTAGTTATGGTCTTAACCTTTTGGCGAATTAATATTTAGTCTAATTTCTAAATATTCAAAGTTTCCCCTATTAAATTGCAAAGTAAGAATTTAATTTTATCTTCTTATATATTAATTTACTCATTTTGAAAGCTCGACTCAAATAAGAGTTTAACAACGAAAAAGGTAAGATTTTTCTTTCTTTTCACTCCTCTTCAGATTTATTACCCAGCAATGTGCATGTATATATATATATATATATATATATATATATATATATATATATATAGAATGTAGGACGCCCATGGCTAAGATAAAAAGACAAGCTGTAAAGCAACTTGTTAGCAGTTAATATACCACATAACAGCCTTGAGCGCTTAGCTTTGGAGCGGGTAGAATGGAGATCAACGTCTTTTAGTGGACTCGGCAATTTTCAATCTGCTTGTCTGAATTATCTTTAAGAAGCGAGAGCAAGATCTAAAAGGTCAACCAATATAACAGTGATCTTATCTCACAATCCTCACACTTGCTCCATATGTGGCCTCCTTTGTAAATAACTAGCGGGTCTTAAATGCCACTTAAGATTATCGCACAAAATTTCATAACTGAATCAATAAGCTGGCAGATCCTCCTACGTGGAAACCGACGGAAGAGTCCATTATTATTATTATTATATATTTTATATATATATATATATATATATATATATATATATAATTTTGTATAATTTTATATATCAACAACCAGTATTTAGAAAAATATGATAAACAAGAAAGGTTTTTTTTGTGACGCGTCTGTTGAAATCTTAACGGAGAAACGCATCACAAAAGAATTCCATTTTCATTCATATATATATATATATATATATATATATATATATATATATATATATATATATATTAATGTACATTGTATTGTAGAGACCTTACTGCACTGAGGTTTCAAATTAAATTTAGGGATATAATAATATAGTGATATGATGTATATGAATTTATTTAGTAAACGCAATATTCATACAGAGTTATTAATACAAATGCAAGGAAATATTCGCAAAAGGATCTTTTCCAAATTAAATTAATAAAACCATAAACAAAAATACATTAATACCTAATTAAAATCGTGACTGAAAAAGAAATTCGTAGAGTATTCGTCGATTGAATGTTAAGAATACACTTCTTTAAACAACAGAAAAATAATTTCATGCAATTAATTATACCCCGTATCACATTTCCGCATAATAAATACATACGTACATGCGCATATATATATATATATATATATATATATATATATATATATATATATATATATATATATAGTCTTAAGATGTAAGATGTATTATATTTATGGGATGAAGTGCTCAATATCAGAGATAGAGCGTATGTAAATATAAAAGTGAACATAGACGTCAACACTTAAAAGGCGACAGTCTGTTTCATGCTCAGGATTGCATCTAGCATGAAACAGACTGTGGACTCTAAATGTTGGCTTCTATGTTCACTTTATATATATATATATATATATATATATATATATATATATATATATATATATATAATAAAAAAAAAAATATTAAAAATTAAAATCTTCAGACACACTGTTGTAGATTAATATTCTTTCGTTTTTATTATTATTATTATTATTTCATTTAGATTCCTCGACTAGTTTCGGCCAAAATGGCCATCATCGGGAGAAGAAATATTTCTTATTTATGTATGGATAAAGGCTACGATGACGAAATCGCCATACTAAATTTTTAATTTCATGAATGCGCGTTACGTGTTTTTGATTTTGTAGACTGCACAGTAGAGTAGGGTCTGTTAGGCACCGTCTGGGAGAAAAAAGGTCACTATGCCGCAATTCACTCTGCCAGAAATTAGGAAATAGCATGTTGTACTGCTTGACCTAAAAAAAAAAGGCTAGAGTCCAGAAGAGCTGCAGGAGATTTCGAAGTTGTCTGGAGTCTGGGGTAGAAGCCAATGTATTCTTCAGTATTTCAAGTAATTTTGTGTAATATTGGTAAATATATCTGTTAAAATGAGATGTCAGTGTTATTTTCATTTTTGCTCAATTTAGACAACAATTTATCAATCGCTCTCCCCCCCTCTCCATCTCTCTCTCTCTCTCTCTCTATATATATATATATATATATATATATATATGTTTTCAGTGCGCGTCTTGTCATTATCGTACGCTGGAAGATGTCGCTATTCAATTCAACATTTCAATAACGCTTGCAATTTCGTTAGTAAAGTGATTTTCTTTAATTTTGTTTTTAATCCGTGATTGAATTACAGCGATAACCTTCTGGAAGTAAATATGTCAGAGTTTCGCCCGGCGATACACTCAGAGGAATGTACAGATATTAATGTTTGTTTCGTTTTTATTAGAATCGTTCTCCTGTTAATAGTGCGTGTTGCTTATCATAACACATTGACAGTCTGAACCGATGAGACAAGTGAATTACTTTACAGCATTATAATTGCGCACATGCAAATACACAGGTGTGCATTCGTACACCCATGTGTATATAATCACTGCTATTGTTTATGCACAAACATTTGTATAATTTGTTAATAGAGATACTTATAATTATATGAATAAATGCAAATATATAAATCTGATCAAATGTGCAAGTATATACAATGTATATGTTTATGTATATGTGTGTAGTGGTATGTCTGTTTGTATGTATGTATTTTTACAAAGACCGTAGATTGTGATTGGTAAATAAATTTAAAAAAAACCTTACAAACAAGTTTTAATCTTTTTTTCTTTGATATCAACCTCTTGCCTATAAAGATGTTTATTTCACAGATGTTCGACACTAATATCGCTAGTAAATTAGTTTCACCTAAACACATCAATTCTCCTGATTTGAAAAATTGTGTTATTTATTGATAAAATTAGCAATATTTATCCGAGAAAAATTTTCAATATGGAAATATTTCTATTAATATATATATATATATATATATATATATATATATATATATATATATATATATATATATATATATTATTTAAAGAAATATAGTCTTAAGATGTGTTGTATTTATAGGATAACGTGCTCAATATCAGACATAGAGCGTGTGTAAATATAAAAGTGAACATAGAAGTCAACACTTAGAGGCCACAGTCTGTTTTATGCTCTATATATATATCTATATATATATATATATATATATATATATATATATATATAAGACTGTCAGTCCGTATTTCGCACGTTTGTACGAAATTCCAAGTCGTGTAATCGACGTTGGATATTATGTATAATCAATAATCACTAATATATACTTAATAGCTATGATATATAATATGTTATGTTATACAGCTATGTTATATTATATATATATATATATATATATATATATATATATATATATATATATATATATATATATATATATATATAAGATGAGGTATTATGATCATTTACATTATTCGGACTGTTATACTCATCTTCAATATTGTAACTTTTGAAATTATTTTTTTAAATGTTTTTTATTATATTATTTTAATTCAGATTTTTGTATAAAACTTTGCTGCTACAAACATTTAAGAACTTTGCTGCGATGATCAGAGTTGAAGTTATTTACTTTTGGCCACGATCCTATTATATAAAGAGCTTCCAGATTTTAAAATTTTTGCTTATTATTGTTTTGCTGAAGTACTGATGCTTTCTGAACTAGTGTATACGCATCCACAGATATTTTAACCCCCTGAAGATGGTCTCAGAAGAGAGTGAATGTACTTCAAAAATAAAAAATATTTGAAAGAAATTTTTGCTATTTTTCTTGATCAATTTACCGCCACCAAGGAAATAATTCGTGGACTTGGAAGGTTTAAAATTAATATAAACTGACATAATATATCTAAATTATTAAACCAAACCTGCTTGGTATATATATATATATATATATATATATAATATAAGACTGTCAGTTGGTATTACGCACGTTTGCACGAAATTCCGAGTCGTGTAATCGACGTTGGATATTATGTATAACCCCTAATATATACTTCATAGCTATATTATATATAATATTGAGCACTGTTTTTATTACATCCGAGAAAGAACTATATAAAGAAGTATATATGCATGTTTATTTATCATACCCATATATATATATATATTTAATTAATTAATTCATCGAGTCTGATAGAAACCTCAACAGAATGCAGAAAGCACTGGACGGCCATTTCGTCCTATATTAGGGACTCATCAGCAGTGCGCATCCCCTACCAAGAATTGAAACCCTGACAGTTAGGTTGTCAAGCGAACATCATACCAACTGTTCCAAATGGGTCAGACTCAACTTAGTGAGAATATGTGAGCGAGCGGCGCTAAGTTGAGTCTGATTTGGAATCTCTTCGTCACCGAGACCCATTTGGAACAGTTGGTTTGATGTTCGCTTGACAACCTAATCAGGTCAAGGTTTCAATTCTCGTGAATGCGCACTGCTGATGAGTCCCAAATATAGGACGAAACGGCTGCCACAAAGTTTTCTGCGATTGAGGTTTCTATCGAACTCGATGAATTAATTAAATATAATTATCAAGTCCTCCTAATAATTACTATATATATATATATATATATAATCTATGGAATCCCTACAAATATCCTTAAATGTCTATAACTGGTAACAGAAGCCATTGGTTTATACCAACGGCTTCCCATACTTAATACTTCTCGAATTCACTCTCGCGTGGTCATGTACGACGTCATACGGTGCGATTTTCGCTTCTAGCATCTTATATGCACGTGTTTATCATTGCTTGGAAATCATTCATGTAATCAATAACAGACTATCATCACTGTGTTGTCCGTATATTGCTTAATATATTGTACAGTAATTTACATCTTTGATAATGGCTTATGTAAGCCGAAAGCTTAGATTGGATTAAAAATATGGATCAATATTGTGATTTTCTTTCTTCGTTTAATGATAATGTTATTCAGCTTATAAGACGTTATGAAAAGAATTTACGTAGAATAAATAGACAGCACTTGTCTATCGTATTTAATGAAACATGTATGAATGAAAAAATGCTGCCTAAACACACACACGCACATATATATATATATATATATATATATATGAAAGCAGCTATCAGTGTTTCACAAAGGGACAGAAATCTCTAACTTTCAATACCTGATATTACAGAAAGCTTTGATTCTCAATTTTTCATTATTTCGATTGTTTTCGACGAATTTTACCTGATTTTACCGACGAATTTCTTGTACAGTAACAATTTTCCTAACATGAAAACAAATTCGGGAATAATCGGAATTAATTACAAAATCCAGCGAATGTCACCCACTAAATAAAAATAATTGCTTTTTACAGAAATTAAGGACCTATGCACATGTAATTTTGTGTAAATTAAGTGTCGGCAGAAGAAATTTTAAAAGGTAAGCTTAAATATTACTGCAATACTTAAATGCAGCGTTCAAATGAAAGCTCGGGTTAAACAACAGCCAAGAGAGCTTCAAATGCTGAGAATGTGCAAAAACGTAGAGACTCTCAAACTCCTGTACAAGCCGAAGGCAAAATCAATAGCTCTCCGCAGGAGCTAACTTAAATGCTGCTCGATAGTGCGGCACTTGTCCCTGGTGAATTTTTTTAAGATTATTGAACCGAAGACAGATTTCCCTGCATAATTTCCTTTTTTGCATTAGTGGCAAAAAAGTAAATATATAAGATTTTAACTGTCACAGGACGTATATTTGGACAGTAAACTTTCTTTTAAAATCTTGGATTAAACATGTCAGACAAGGAAAATTGAATTATATTTTTATTTATTTTTATCAGCGTTTTTACGTTTTGTTTTGTTTTGTAGAAGTAAGGTAGTACAAACATTTTCGATAATTTTCATTGTACCAAAAGCTTTCGCAGACATCTATAGCCATTTTGAACGGGGTTTTGTTTTTTGTGTTGTTATTTTTCTTGTTTTAACTGTTTAAGTTATATTTTATTTTTGCTTTGTCTTGAATAGGAGCGTTTATTCCTAGCCCTATCTATCTATCTATCTATCTATCTATCTATCTATCTATCTATCTATCTATCTATATATATATATATATATATATATATATACACACACATATGTGTGTGTGTGTAAACATTAAAGTCAAAGCACTGAGGCGACAGACTGTTTCGTGATAGACACAATCATCAGGCCACAATACTTATATATATATATATATATATATATATATATATATATATATATATATATATATGTATCAGGTTAATGCAAATGTAAAGTTTGCCACTTAAACGATTAGCATATATACGTGTGTGTCTGTTGGTGGGTGTAAGTAAAGATCAAACCTAAGAATTTTACGATCGGGTTTTGTTTAGTATGTATATTCTTCACTTGGTAAAAAACCATAAAAGAAAAATAAATTTGAATAATTCTCTGACAAGGCAATTTTTTCAAATCAACATTCGATTTCACTTCAAGTTGTTCGGGGAGAACGAATAAATTATCATTGATTTTCCTATATTAGTCACCATTTCAGTTTTCATTGGTAGAATTCATTTTATCGAAACCTACAACGGCATATATATATATATACATAAACTGGAAGTTCAATACATTATTCAAAATTCTTTATATCATTGAAATATTTGCTTAAAACACCCCAGAACACATAAAATAAGACCTAAATGTAATGACTGGGACGTGAATGGACGAATGTGTGTATATATATATATATATATATATATATATATATATATATATATATATATATATATATATTATTTGTATGATAATAATATTAGTGATCAGTATGGATATTTTCAAATATATTTCTATTTGCCTCAGTCTAAACTTAAATAAAACATTCTCTATTACCTCCTCTCTCTCTCTCTCTCTCTCTTTCTGACGGATTTCATCATCTTCCTTTCCAAAGGCTCACATACCCTTTTGTCCTGTCTTTCTTCTATGGCTTTCTTTCCACTCCAACTCTCTCTCTCTATCTTACTTACGCGACTTTCTTTCCCACTTTTTCCCACTTTTTCCCACATTTTCGCGTATACATTTTTATATAAATGTTGTTATTTCAACATGGAAAATTATTTTCTGTTTCCTTTTGTATTTGAAGGTCTGATGAATTCGTGCTGTTTTTTTTGATCGTAATCAAATAAATTATTACCACGTGAAGTTTTAGTGTTTGTGCCTTTTATAATATATATATATATATATATATATATATATATATATATATATATATATATATATATAAATTATAAGATTTATTAAATTCTTACTACCTACCTTTTAACATTTTATTAAATCTTTCCAATTTCCGAATGAGATCTACGTGGTGATTGAGGTATAAAGTGTCCACAGTTCTTTTCTTTACTCAATTTGTAATGTACACCTCATTCGGAAGTTTTACGCTAGAATAAGTATTTGAATAAAGAGAATCTTATCGTTGGAATTTAATAAAAATTGTTGAGATGGATTCTTCTACCTATATATATATATATATATATATATATATATATATATATATATATATATATGCCAGAGTAACACAAATAGTAAAATGTTTATTAAAACTAAATGTACGCAATACAAAGTTGGAAGATCAGACTTGCAGAGCTGTTTAATATTTGAAAAGGATGAAAGCTGACCAGAGCGCACTACTGTGGTTTCGACCTGTACGGTCTCCTCCTCAGAAAGAGTTCTACAGCTTGGGGTTATTTGAACCCGATTAAATGTTAGAATTAAAAAAAAATTTATTTTTAAATTTTTTTCTTTTATCGAGTTCCGTGTGGTTGATTTCCTGAACAAACTACTGGTCAGCTTTCATTCTTTTTAAAGATATATATATATATATATATATATATATATATATATATATATATATATATATATATATAATATTACAACAGGTAGACAGTATATACGACGCGTTTTTATTTTTAGTTATATCTGAAATTTTTACACACACAAACACACACACACACATACATACATACATATATATATACGTGGTAAAGTAGATGTCCTATTTATTTTTTTAAGACTGTGAATTACAGCTTTAAAAAATAAAGAGGGCATCTACCAGCGATTCCATTTAAGAATCCTTAATAAAGAACACATATCCTCCGATAGGGTAAACAAATATCTGGTCCGCCATATTTGAAATGTTTCATTTACAGAGAAATACACGGCCCAGCAAATGTTCCAGAGAACGCATTTTCTTTATTTAAATTTTAAAATGCACAGTCCGTTAGAAGTAATATTTAAAAAAAAAAACATGGTGTCTATTCAAACACAGGCATCCAGATCTTTATAAAATTTAATACATTAAATTAAAGTACTGTAATTTTTTGTTCAATAAAATTTAATAAATAAAAAGGCGTTAATTTTGTCAGAACATATATATATATACAGATCCACTAGGGTAGTATACCAGGCAACCATTACCCCTAAAGAAAATACGACAAACCGTAATATTTACATCGGCATTTCTGCAGGAAAATTTAAAAAGAGAATCAATACACATTGACACCCATTCACCAATCCAAAATTAAAACATCAAGAAATCACCCCTTTCGAATAATTTTGGGAATTGAAGGAAAATGTTGTTAATCCTCAAATAAATTGTAAAATTCTAGGTTTCGCGAACACATAGACTCTTGCAGCTAGCGTGTTCATTAAACAGGATGGTCGAATGGGACACGATACCCGCCCAGCGTAGACAATGTTAAAGGGTAGTAGGCGCAACTGCTGGTGAGAGAAGAACCTTGTTGATGACATTTGATGCCCCAGCAATACAAAGTATATATATATACTTCAAATTTCAACATATATATATATATATATATATATATATATATATATATATATATATATATATATATATATATATATATATATGAAATTTGATTTATCAAAATTGCAGCCCGTGGTTAAATTTTTGATATCAACAATGTTTCGGATATAGAAGGTATGTCCCATAGAAAAAAAGGATATCATCTCTATCCATGTCGGAAAGACGAATTTTCGTTTTTTAATAGAAATTCTCGATCTAATCTGTTTTGTTATTAATTTTACTTTTTAATAAAATAATTAAAAAAAACAGATATACGCAACCCAATCACGTAAACCCACTAAAAGTAAAGTTTAATATATATATATATATATATATATATATATATATATATATATATATATATATATATATATATATATATATATATTATAAATTTCCAGATATAACTAAAAAGTATGACTTAGAATATAAATAATGAAGACAAAAGGATTACATACCTTAGCTAATGGGTTTCCTCCTCTTATGGACTTTATTACGTCATTTGCATTGATAATGTCCACGAAAGGAGAAGACGCGTCGTCTAAGATAAGTTTTCTTTTTGACTTTATTATTCATACAATATATATATATATATATATATATATATATATATATATATATATATGATTTTTCAGTAATGCCTAAAAAGCTAGAAGCTGAGTCATAACGGGATGCCAGAGGTCATTGCCAATGCTGCAAAACTGTTTTCCATATTTTACAATAAAACGTTGTCAGCACAAGTAAATCCAATTTGGTAAACGCAGCAAAAAATTTAGGATATAGTGTTGCAACAAAATGTAACTTTGATAGTTGCTGGAGTAACGCAATAACGCAATAAATTTGTAATGTCATTTTGCCTTTCAGTTGTTTCTTGTGTGTTTGTGTTCTGGCCAGTTAATTCAATAAAGTATATTTCATTGAATAAACTGTACATTTTCAGGAAAATATTCATTGGTCACATCAGTGTAACCTGAAAAAATATGAAATATCCCAGAACAATGGAATGGCCGGAAAAAAAAAACAGTATCTTTTCACCCGAATCCTTACACCGATGTTTATTGCCAAATTGATCTCGGCATACATGACTTTACATGCCAGAAAGGTGCAAATATATTCGGAGATCCTAAGATTCGTTAGAGTCTTACCTTGCACAGATCTGGTCTTCGTCTGTATTCTCGATGTTTTGATTTAAAGCAAAATAGGTCTGGTGCTGAATTGAGGTATCTCTGACACAGACTGTTTTTTTATTAAAAATTATTCCGCCCTGTTATATATATATATATATATATATATATATATATATATATATATATATATATATATATAATAATATATATAATAATATATGATTACAATTTATTACATTGGAATCGTAAACACGATCCAATACATTAGATCTATAAATTAAAAAAAAAACAAAAAAAAACAGAAAATATATCTTCAGGTATATATATATATATATATATATATATATATATATATATATATATATATATATAACAGAATCCCAGTGAAAGTGTATGCGAAGGAATGAGAAACATGCGTGAGAGGGAAATGTATGAAAGCTCTACAGAGAGGCGAAACGGAAGAAAGAAGAACAGGAAAGTCCTTAAGGTGAGGGTGATGAATAAAATTTAAAAGGCATAATTTTTAAAGAGAGAAGTTAAATCTCGGTTTTAATGACTGAGATACAGCTAAATATGAGTTATTACCAGATGCATAAATCGACTACAGATTCGTTGACCTAAAATTTAAAAAAATAGAACAGACACCGTCGTATCGTACCGATCCTGTTTGATTCTTGGTAGTAGATGAGCAAATATAAGATGAAACGGGCGTCCAGTGCTTTCTGTATTCCGTTGAACATTCTTTTAGACTTGATGAATTACTTAATTATGATATATATACATATATATATATATATATATATATATATATATATATATATATATATATATATATATATATATATATATATATATATATATATATATATATATATATATATATATATTTCAAAACTGTGTGTATTTAGGCAGAAATTTCTCTTTTAGGAATGTCTGATTGAATAAATTACAGATATTATGTCGGCTAATTTTTAATAAAATCCCTTCCTACTCACGAATAACCTTCTGTGTTTTGATGTTAAAGGATGAGAGAAATATGCTATAGCTGTTTAAATTTCTTTTATTTTCATTTCCCAAGTACTTTCGAGCTTCTTCGATGATCATCTTCAGGGGTGCAAGATGTGCGTTGTTATCTCGTTGTTATACACACACACACACACACACACGCACACACACACACACACATATATATATATATATATTCGTATATGTGTGTATATCTTTTAAATTCTAATTAAATCCATATATATATAACCTGTTCTAATTCATGCCTCGTTATAATCCTATTTATTCACACGTTGTTGACAATATTAATGCCGATTACTCTACATATTGACAATCGTATATTACCTTTCGCCCATGCTTTCGCTCTTGAATTAATGTTTCCACTGATGCCCTTCTGTTCAGATACCCGCTTATATTTATGGATTTTCATTTGGCATTCACAGCGGATCGTTTGACATCTCTTTCAGCAATTTCCAAATTGAATTGACTTTAAACGAAGCATATAAGAATAATCCAGAACATATACTGGAACAAACCACCTGCACTCGAATAAAAAAGGAATTCATTAAACATTGTAAATGTTATGGTCCGGTTCCCTGTACCACGGTGATAGTCCAAGGTAGAACCAATAAAGAAGAACTCGAACACAGGTATGGAATAACACAGATATATTACAAACAGGAATATATACAGAGAAGTAGAAGTGTTAGTATGAACAATCAGGTTTAGTAGAGAGAACAATGTAGTCTCGACCAGTATCAATATTCCAATGTTTTGCAGTAATTGTCTGAACGCGACTCTGTTTCGGACTGCCTCTGACTCGACTCTTGACTCGACTTGAACTACTGACTGACGATATTCAGTCACCCCCCACGAAGGCGTCATGTGGCACAAGGCCGGTTTAACGTGGGATCTCCGAGCCCGTGGGCTCGGCCAAAAATATGCCCATTGAAGGCGTATAAACGGGTTCAGGGTCGGTTTACCTCCCCGAAAGAGAATCCGCCCTTCGGCGTAGCCTCTTTCGGGTTTCATCCCCGCCCGAAGGCAGAGAGTTCAACCGAACAGCCGGTCAAGA